CCTGCAGTCTTCATCAACCGAAAGCCAAGACTCTGTTCCATCTTTTGATGAGAAAGTAAGTTTGAAAATCCTTCCTTAACATAGGATTTCGAAAGGATCTTTGGAAAATGTGTTCATGGTTCAAGAATTTGCAGTAGAAACATACTAGTTTTTTCATGAGTAGATAGTCCAAAATGTTCTCTTTGAAATGTGAGTCAAGCGAGGCTCTCACATTTGATCATTTAGGCCTGGCATCGGAATTTCCGAGAGTCACAGGACTGACGCCCGTCCACTTTGGAGATTCTTAAATACAACTGGAACATAGGCGATCGAGCATGCTGGGTCTCATAAAAAATGTTTGCTTTTCGAAAAAGAGTAAAGAATCTAATGAAATCCTATTTTGTCTGAAATATTCAGTTTTCGACTGGTTGCACCTCATATTAAAAAATCCCAAAACCACTTAAGATAAGCTGGAAACTCCAAAGTAAGGTCAAGCTGTACTTTTGGTAAAAGCAAGAATATTTTTTGTTGTCTATTTACTTTAGTAAAGTACTATGATCACAGAGTACTTGAAGGTGCAGAAAAGAGAAAATAAGGTGGAAATTGACCTTAACACCCATATGGTTTTCCAAGATCCTTTCAAAATCCTATGTTAAGGAAGGATTTTCAAACCTACTTTCTCATCAAAAGATACACTAGAGTCTTGGCTTTCGGTTGATGAAGACTGCAGGCTTCTATCACTTCCCTGTCAAACGTAATTCAAAAATATCGTAGTTTTTCTATTTTGAAAAGAAAAATAGTATTTATTGATTATAAATTATTACCTGAAAATTTTTTTTAATAATTTTTATATCAGACAGCTTTTATGAAGACAAATTATGATAGATGAACTGAAACATCTCGAACGCGCAAAAAACGCAAAATTCATAATTTTTGATGCTTGTGTTTCTACCATCTTCTACTTCTTATACATACCAATGTGGCTCGTTTTTGTTCAACTGTAGTTTTTGTCTCAAAATATAAAAGATATTTCTTCAACAGAAAACTTTTCATTGTTTGCTCCAAGGTTGGTGGAGTAGCAGAGGCTAAGAGCATCTTTTTTAATACATATAAGGCTGTATTGCTAATGGCTAAAATGGCAAAAGAATGTTTAGATCTCGTGTCCGCTCCTCTTGAAAAGATTGTCTTAAGAATGAACTACTTACCTAACGTCTGATAATTGGGAGCAGATAACAATTCGGTTACTCTATAAAATGGAAACAGCACATTTTTGAGCGCTAATAGACAATCCCAATCTGTATGAGAATATGACAAGTTCTTGAGCTTTTCTCGTTGAGTTGAATCGAGACCGACGACGAGTGTTGGATTATGGGTGAAGACATTGACTATTTCACGATAGACAATAAAACGATCGAGCATCACATACGTGAAATTCCATCTAATATGAAGATCGATGATTAGATCAGTGAATTTTTATTTTCTCTCTGTTGATGTTGTGGCTGTTGAGCTTGAAGTAGGCTGTTGCTTTTGATTATCGACCGTCATTTCATGTTCAATTTGTTTTCTTTTAGCTTCTTGACGAACATAAACATCGAGAATACTTGATTTTCGAATAAGTTTGATCAGCGAGCGAGTTTGTTTGAGCAAAATGAATACTTTTTCAACTACTCTATTTGGTTTTGATAATAAAATTGTCATTTCCTCTCGTTCTTCTGAGTCATCATCAAGATCTGAAAAAATTCCTGGTTTGATTTAAAATCTAATGTGTCTCTCAGATTTTTATGCAAAGCTCCAAAATTTTAATGTATGTTACGGCCTCTTCTTTGTAGAGGAGTTTTCTTTTTCTTTCATAATAGACCATAAATTGTGAATTATGCTATGAATCGATAAATAATAATACGCTTATTTATAAACGCAAGAAAATAGGTCTCAATCAAAAATAGAAAACTAACAAAAATCATCTAGTTTCGTAGCGCAACTTATAATCAAGGCTAACTCATCACATAACGTTAGCCCACACTTAAAAGAATTTTACGACCTCGCAGAACTGTTCTGTGCACATTAATTCTTTGAATGCAAAACAGACACCAGTCCTTTCGTCTGTTGAATGCCAGTACGAAATACAGATAGTGATTAGAAATGAATTTGTTGCAGTACTTTATGCTGTCTAAATCATTTCAGTCTGGTCTGGTTGTATAGTTTCATCTAAGATCTTGCGATCTACCGACATCTCGATCTTCGGTTTAGGTCTCAGACATGGTCAAAGAACGCTCTCGGAAATCTTGATCAAGGTTCATGTTCATTACCATGTTTGATCATCAGTCTGGGTATCTCGATCTGGCTGAAAGGCGTTGAGAAAAGAGATAACTAAAGTTCTGTTCATCTCTAATGATCTGGCAACGTCAAGATGCTTTTTCGATAACATTGTTCCATTTTTCGTCCTTCTCATCGTTCTCCAAATTTTCAAACACCAGTTTTCATTTGTTCGTAGTCGCCGTTCTAAGCCAATATTTCTGCTCGACAGGTAAGGCAAACTACTCGCTGCTACCAAATGTTATGAATCGATAAATAATAATACGTTTATTCATAAACGCAAGGAAATAGGTCTCAATCAAAAATAACAAAACCACTAACAAAAATCATCTGCTTTCCTTGGTAACAATAGTTTCAGCGCAACTTATAATCAACACTAACTCGTCACTTAACAATAATCTTCGATTTTTGCTAAAACCGCGATTAATCGTGACAAAATTCCTCGGTAAAATTGCGATTAAGTTCACGATTTATTGCCCGTGAAATCATGATAAAATTCTCCAAACTGAGACCATTTTGATGTCTTTGTCTTTCTAAAATACAGTTAGAATAAAGAAGTAAAAAAATAAACAAACAAACACGAAAAAAGTTAAAAAATAAATTGCACTACGTCTCACGCTGCCAGATTACTTGTTTTTGGTTTTTTTGCAGATGCTAGCAGTTTAGAAAGATCATTGCTTGGTTTTAAAATCCCGACAATATCCTTCTTCTATTCTAAAATTGGAGTACTACTACATAGTTTATATTGCATTTTTTTCTACAGATTATGTTTGCTTATTTTTATTTTTCAGGTCGTAGGTAATTTTCTGCCATGTAAACACTAGAAGGTGAAAGCATCCAGTTTCTCGAAAAATTTATTTTGGTAGATTTTTTTTCTAAATAAGGCATGATTGTAGCCCGCAAATTTCTGATTAAAATGAGACACCTCCGAGCTCTGCACGACCTTTTTTAGAGTTTCTGAAAGAGTGGTTTTACAGAAAACCGGATATTCAAGAGTCATGACTTAGAATCCTTTTAAGATATTTACTACCTCACTGAGGTCTATCGATCCATGTACAAATCATTGGACTCGGAAGGGAGCACCTCGGAAGGTTTCCTCGTGAGTCCAATACATTTCTCTGGTCTTTTTATTTTTTCTTGTCTTTTCGACATCGTGTGATCAAGGTGGAATTGTAACCGGCATACCAGTTCTCTTTCTTTTTCGCTGAATCGGACAGACAGAGAAAAAGAAAATATTTTCTTTTCGTAGGGCAGGATGGAACAACTCTGGACCAAGAACCCCGTTTTAATGATTTCTTTCACTCAAACTTGCAGAAGCCTTGATTTTTTTCGATAAATTTTCTTTGTCACAGTCTTGCTAATGAAAGTACTGAAATCTCGGTTTCGGTTTAGAAAAATTATCTGTATATTAATGGCTCTCTTCCCAAAATTAAAAAAATTATGCACAAAACTTCGGCAGGAAGCCAGCATAACAGGCAGCTGTTGCAAATCTCCTTAAACTCAGCGTGTGTTATTTGGAATTTCATGAACATTATTTTTCTGTTTTTGATTTTTTGGATAGTAATAGCTTTTATACAAATAGTATTTTTATTTTAATTATTTTTATAAAACAATCCATATTATGCATTTAATCCAACATTTCCATTTTAATCAAATTGAAATCAATTCAGGTAATTTACTTTGGAAAATACGGTTTTTGTGATTTAACAAACTGCGTATGTTTTTATTTATGTCCTAGGTTCTTGAAATGTCAACTTTACGAACATGCGTTTTATGTGGCAAAAACAGATAGAATCAAAAGATCCTATTATAAAGAAATTTCAAGTGAAGACGTTGAAAGAAAAATTAAACGAGGTTATGAATATCACCACAACAAAAAAATTAATAAAGCATTATTTAAGAAAATAGTTCATGCCAAATGTTATTCAATATACTATAACCATAATTGCTATTCGATTAGATCGAACAGAACAGGATCAGCATCATCTTCGTCGCCGTTGAATTTACCTACACAAGCACCATTATTAGATCGTACGAATCAGCAATCATTAGTAGTTTTACCAAAAAGAACATCTAATGAGTCAATTACAATCTTTCGAAACTGGAATACCAATTCTCATATCAGCAGTCTTTCTTCCTTACCAACCACAACGCCAACTTCATCATCTAGACCTGTACGTCGAATTATACCACCAACAACAACACCAAATCAACATAGCCACCTCGATTATTATCGTCAAAATATTTTACCTGATGATAGGAGTTCATTATCTTTTTTATCAAGTTCACCAATGTTTATTAGGCAAACTAATAAAAAGGTAAGTTTTAAGGCATGATCTTCTAACATGCTGTTAGTTTGAAAGTTGAAGATGTAACGTGTTTTTCGAAAACATTTTTATAGCGTAACTTTTAACAACTTAGCTTTTTGTTAGGAGATTAGTGTCGGAGGACCACAGCACAATATCTTTCATGACTCTTTTTTTCAACTTCTCCTTCTTTCCTCTTACAGCTTATCTCATTTTTCAAAAGAAGCGTAAATGTTCCAAGACTTCGGTGAAGGTTGCAGACATTGGTGCGATCTACAGCAAAAAGAGAGGAACAAACCTCACGCCTTATTGAACTCTTCCGAAACCCACATAAGTTTTTGTTTCGTTCAGCAACAGCAATTGACAGTGTCATCTGTAAGCTTTCATTAAGAAAATCGAACATTTCTATAATTCTCATCCCTCAACAAGAAGAAATTATTCACTTCAATCTCGATTAATGTTTTCACCCACATAAAGTAATGCATGTGCGTTTTTCTTTTTTTAGAATCACATTAGTCGTCATGCACAAAATGAGCGAGAACAACAGCCTCCAGAATCATTACCAGAAGCTAATATAATTAAAATCATAGCTTCAAGAATATCAAACATTACATCACCAATTATCGATGATAAATTACTATCAGATAGTACAAAAAATGTTTACGACGACAAACGACAGGCTGCATTAGAATCGTTGCAACATTATAATTTGTTAGGATCATTTGAAAATATGTTTGATGGAGGTGATGCCGGATATATTAAACTTATACCAGAAGATTATCAGACAAATATCAAGTTTCAAGTTGATTTAGACAAACATGGCATCAAATTAAATCAAATGAACACTTATAAGCAATGAACACCTATAAACAATGCAAAGATTGTACCGAAACAGATCAAATCAAAACTAAATGATCGATGTAAAGATTTATTGAAATCATTCAAATTTTATTGTGAAAATTTGAAAGATATACTACAATTTCTACCACCGTCATTATCGTCGTCAACAATTACCACAATTACAACAGCAATTGACAATGTTGATAATACATTTACCGAAAGCGAGAGTACAATACTATCGAGTCAGGTAAATATATTAAGTCTCCTTTTTTAACCATTTATTTATTTAAGTGTTTTTTTTCTTCTACCGTTTTAGATTCATGCAACAACAGCGGAGGATATGAATAATCAACAGCAAGATATTAATTTGGTAATTCATAATAATACATCGATTATTTATAATACTTTGGCCTCAAACTGTATAGAATCATCACATCAGACACATTTATCACCATTACCACGTGAACAATCAGCAGTACATGGAAGCAGATATGTTTCTACCACTGAGCTATATATATTTGAATTTTTCTTCAACAGTTTGTATTAAGTTCTTTTATCACTTACTCTCTTTGTTTTTAGGGTTGTAGGCAACTACGAGGAAGGTCTCGAACAGAAATCTATTTTGATCCAACAACCACAACAATTAATTCAGCAGCAACATCAACAATAAGAATAACAAGAACAACAACCAGTCCTATTGTAAGTAAAACTTTTACGTTCTCCCGAAGAGACAAGTTTTGTGTTCAGTTTTAACGAAATTTGACGGAAAAGAGAATAATGCTGTACTGTGCTCTTCTCTCCCTAGCTCGCGTGGATTTTGTCAGTCTGTTTCTCAAAAACTATCTGTCATCGTAGAGAACTCTTTCCGAGTTTCGTTATCTAAAACTGAGGATTTTTAGGCTTTAGTAAAACTATAGCATTCGTCATTGCCTTGTATGTCCGAATTTGCTTTTGCTGATGTTTTAGGGGGCTCTGCTATCGTTCAGCGACTTCTACACCTAAATAATCTACTTCTTACTTGATCGGATTATATGAAATAAATTTTCGTTTTTCTCTATTTTAGATTTCATCTCGTCCTAAAACTCGAACTAAACGATCTCAATTTGATGATGTCTCATCCATTCCAATTGATGATAATCAAATATCTTCTTTATACAGGACCGGATTTGATGAATTATGTGGATGGTTAGAAGATATATTAAAAACAAATTTTCTATTATCAATGACAACGATACAGGAACAGTATAGAACAATCCTCCGACGGCGACATGAACCAGTAACAGAACTAATAGTTCGCACATCAGCTATTCAAGATCGAATAACAACAAGATATGGAAATCAAATCAAATTTGAAACAATCAGCAAACGTACGGGCACATTTGCCTGCTGGAATGATTTAACAACAATTGCTCGTTCAGTTTTAACAAATTCAACGTATATTGCCCACACAATCACTCAGCCATCAGATCTAATTTACAAAGATGAAGAATCACGAAAAAACAAACAAAAACAATGTGAAATATTATTTCAAGCCGTCAATTTATTACGTGAAGCAATTAAAGATAATGTACATTATTTGAAAAAATACAATCACAACTATCAATTATTAAGTGATTTAGCTCCCGGAATGTTTTGGGATTGTGTTCCGACCATGCTGAAAAATTTTATCGGTTTATTAACAACAAATCAACAGCAATTTCAGCAGTTCAAGCGTGATTATAAACAATATGATTTACTAGATGAAGATATATAGTTTTTTTTTAAGACAAAGAGATCAAAGGATTTTTGCGGTAATTAGTTGTTGGACTTTCTCTTTGCTCTGGAATTTCCGTTTTGTTTTGAAAAACGGATTCTATTGAAACTAAGTAAAATTTAGTAGAAAGGCTTAATTCTTTTTGCAAATGATTTCGTTCTTTATGCAAAACTGAGCCTTCTCTGGTGAGAGAGTTTGAGTCTCCTTTGTTTTTAGTCTCTTTAAACTTTCGAAATTCATATGTTTTTTTTCCTGTTTTACATGTTCGCATACAAAAGAAAGCGGCTGAGAAAGTTTCAGAATGATCACCAACACAGTTACCACCAAACGTGCAACAACAGCATCAGTTTGGTATAACAGTGGCTGGTAATTTTGACATGAATATTGGTAGTTTCCATGGTGAAAACAGTATCCACATTTTAAATCGAATAATTATCCAGACACCTGCTAATGATGAAGTATCATTTAATGTGAATCAATGTGTAACTGATTTATGTCAACGTATTGTGGCTGAACGTAGTGTGAATTCAATTTTTGATCCAACAATATTACCAGTTATACCATCTGATTTAACAACAACGACGGCAACATCGACAGCAACATCAACCGTGAAATATCAACCATATGAAGATCATTCTTATCAAGACAACCTATTGGCATATTGATTAATGAAACATGCCTGTTACGATAATAATAGTCTAACAACTATAAAAACTACTGATACAAGCATACAGTTAAATTTACCATTGCTGTCTGGATTTTGTACTGTTTATTTACCACACATCGACCGTCCATTAGCAAAAATAACATTCATGCCACCGATCAATGAAGATCCAAATGCATTATCAACATCCCAATCTTGCCTTCAAGCAATAAAAGCGTCGTTTATTGATTCTAATTATCAAGAAGAAGCAGTCGTCGTAGTTGACGAAAACATTTACCGTAATTGTATAAAAGCAAGTTTTTTTCAGTTGTATATTTAATTTTTTCCTACTCAGAATGCTCACTAACGGAATAAAATATATGTCATTCTAAAGCTCTTAAAATTCTCTGCAAACCTATTCTAAAATAAATTAAAAAAAGGGAGATGAAAACCAAATTTTGCATTTAACAGTCTATGCTCATGTCGATCGAGCATTTAATAACGAGTACAAAACATCGAAAAAAAGTATTTCTCATTTTAATGTTTGCATCAGAAAGAGCGTCCTGTTTTAGGTATGTGATATTATTTTTAGATGTTCATCTTGAGAAACGGCCGAGTTATAAATTTTCTAAGAAAATTACTGAAAAAGGTCAAGAAAAAGCACTACATTTCTCGTATTTTATGTTTTTGAAATTCTCGAGTAATAGTTTTAAAATGTTTAATCTTACGTCATTCGAAAAAGCGAACAATTCTCTACATGTTATACTAGCTTTTATGCCGAACGACAAACATTTACTTCAGCAAAATTAAAAATGTTCCGTTAGCTTAGATTCAATGCTGAGGTTAAGGTATCCGAGAGTTCGACATTCCAACGGACTACCAGAGTTTGAAAAAGTTCATCTGTACTAGAGCTTCGATACTTATAGTGGTCAGGTCTCATTCGCTGATCAAGCAGAAGCCCATAGGCTTGTTGCTGACTTTGCGAAGAACTAAGCGAAATTACATATTATTATTGTTTGTTTGTGTTTTTCTGTTGTAGGCAAAACGATTGGACCCAATTGATAATAAATCAATCTTCGTTTATCCTGATGATTTTCATACGATGAAGAACTTTATGATTGTGATATGGGATGTATTGAATGGAAGTGGAATTGAGGATGCGTTCGGTCTTATATACAAAGCTGCAGCCCACCGTGCCATGCTGAACGTCCACAATTTCAATTATTCTCTTCGGCCTTGCAAGCTCCTGTACACGGCATTAGCAATGTTATTCATCGAATCCTTCGTGAAAACATCAGTAACATCAGCAAGGATCATCGACGATTTGAAAAAAACACTCGCAAACATTCCATCGGATTATGCTGTCACAAATATCAAACAACAATGGTTTACAACAATGATAATTCAAATAAAAAAATTGGATTTAACAAATGTTATGAACAATTGGGCAATAGAACAAGGCAAAACAAATTTATCATTTAAATTCTGGTATTTTATTTATCAAAAACTGTTACAACCATTAATATTGCTTTATATGTCAATTAGGTTGTCAAATTTTAATGGTATGTTGTCCTCTATGATGTTGCAGAGGAGTTTTTTTTGTTTTGTTTACTTTAGGTCGAAATGCTGCTTTAACATCGACGGCACCTATATTTTTTTCTACCAGTCATCGAAATTATGCAAGATTATGTGCACAGCATTTAATGGATTTACGATCAAGTTCCAATTATTTATTTAGACGATTAGAACAATCGTTTGCTGTATATTTATATTTATTTTTTAAGTATAAATGAGTCATTTACATTTATTTTCCAAAGTAACACTAAATTAACACCCCTAGTTATAATAGTGAGCAGTCAGGCAAATAAAATAAGTTCTTCTTGAATTCTTCCATATATCAGATGTCAACGCAATATCATTTACTGTTGAAAATATTCTTCTCAGACGATCTCTATGTTCATAATAGAGTTTTTCCAAATTTTTTGACACCGTTTTCCGATGTGGCCCTTTATATCCCGGAGTAGCCACGCTCAAGAACAACTGCATTCCCGATCGCCTGAAATCTCCAAATGAACGCGAGCCATCAATGATACATTCAATTGCAGCTTTGTCCAATTCTTTTTTTCGCTCTACTGTCATTGCATTTGATTTGGGGAAGTACATGTCCATTTGTGATTTATATAAATACTCAACCATCCCATGTGTGCGACCGAGATGTTTTCGTAGATTGGTATTAGCTGTCCCACCTGATTTGTATTTCTATAAAAAGTAACAGTTTTTAAGAGAAATATCCTGTCGGTAAAGTCAGCCTTTAACCCCGCAATTCCAACATATTTTTCGAAAAACTTTGAGATTTTCCTGCATTTTTTCAGCATTCCTTTTATCGGAAACAGTAAAATGTTCAGAGAAAAAACTACAGAAAATCTAATTAAAAGTAGGAAAAATCACTATCCTTCTCAAATTATAAGACCTATGGATGTTTGTTGAATAACTTCAGAACGAAATGAGCTAGAGACTCCGGATTTTCATCATTAAAAGCAAGAGTCTTTGAGGTATCTTTCTATAACAGATATAAATTCAAAACTAGTTTTTTAAAGTAGGTTTCCGAGGAGATCTTTGGGAAACCAGCGCATAGCTCAAAAGCTACAAAAGCAAAAAAATCTATATTAGGTGAAATAACCGATTTTTTACTACTCTCATCTATAGAATCTCATTCAGTAGATAAAATTGAGTGTATCTTGATATTCTGAGGTAGCCTGGATCGGTTTTGACTGAATTATGAATTTCCTAATTTTAAGCGAAAATAGGCAGAAATGGGTTATTTCATCTAATATAGACTTTTTTGCTTTTGTAGCTTTTGAGCTATGCGCTGGTTTCCCAAAGATCTCCTCGGGAACCTATTTTAAAAAACTAGTTTTGAATTTATATCTGTTATAGAAAGATACCTCAAAGACTCTTCCTTTTAATGATGAAAATCCGGAGTCTCTAGCTCATTTCGTTCTGAAGTTATTCAACAAACATCCATAGGTCTCATAATTTGAAAAGGATAGTGATTTTTCCTTCGTCTGATTTTCCAGTTTTAGATGGAATAAATTTCAGGTCGAAACACTCCTTGTTCCTCGTATCCTCCATGAAAACTTTTGTTTTTTTGGTTCTGGACTATCTCACCTTAGAATCTATTTCTTATTTATTTCACTGATAAGAAAAACTTGAACGTATGATCATTATTTAAGTGTAAAGTCAATTAGACTTACTTTCTCACATAGTTTGCACTGATAAGTGTTTGGAGCTATTAATTTAAAATAACTTTTTGTAGATGGCTTTGACTTTGGCTTTGGTGTTGTTGAAGTGGACGTGGTAGGCTCATTTTGATCGTTTTCATCATCTGATACTTCAATTGACACTCGGGTTATTGCTGGTCGCTGATCTGAGCAATTGAGCTTCTCTCTATTCTCTTCTTCCATCTCCTCATTTTCATTGTTTTCCTGATTCACTTGCATGTTACTTTGATCGTTTCCATCATCAACCTCCATCTCGTCGTTATTCGTCCGTCGTTGTTTTATATTTGCTCGAATAGTTAGACCACGTCTTCTCGTAGACGCCCTAGTTTCTGTCTCTGTCCTCTCACGGGTGTTAATTTTGATTTTCCGCGTCCACGACTGTTTGTTCGTTGTTGCATACCTCGTGTGATTGTACTACAGGCTTGATAACTTGAGACGACAGGCTTGAGACGAGGGACGTGATCGAGTATTTTGTCTTACCAGTGGAGTATTTTGATCAAGATGAGACAAAATGTCATTCGGGTTATGTTCATCATCAGCTGAAGAAGACATTTTACCACTTCAACGTTAAAAAGTCTATGTTTGATAGTTTAGTTTAGTCGCTTTTATGTAGAAAACACAACTTGTAGTTATTGCGTACAAAGGAAGAAGAGAAAGTGCTCTGAATAGTCAGACTAGAAAATATGTAAGTTATGATAGATTGTATAGTACGAAGCGTTGTTATTACGCCGTCTATTCAGCATATATGTAAAACTATTCTTTTCTTTTTCTCTTACTTTTTTGCTCTGCCTAGGCTATAGCCATAGCCTAAAGTGTTGACCAAAACCACTGAAGTTATCTGACCCTACTTTTGCACCTGCGACTCACGGTTTGTTCTCTTCATTTGAGAAAACTTGCATTGTTTTCAGTTGCATCCATTTACAATTTTTAATATAAATTATTTTTAGAGCTTTTCAAGATTCCGATGGCGTCATTAATCCAGAAATTTCTCAAAAAATTTTCGTTTACGTAAATACCTCATTATTCATCCAAAAACACGTTAGGAAATCGTTTGAATATATTTTTGAAAAAATATTTTTGTATTACTTTCCTGAAAAGTAATACTAATTTTATGAATATTCCTGTTACTGGTAACAAGAATACTTCCAGTATTACTGTTACTAGTAATAGGAATACACGGAAGATTACTGTTACCAGTAACAGGAATACCTTACAGTATTACTTTCCTCGGTAATGTAATACATGAGTAACAGTAATACTACCACCCCTAATCAGAAAACAGACATAAATGCCAAAAAAAACGCAGAGAAATAGTCTTTATACTACGCTAAAAAAAGGACGAAGTACATGTGTCTTCCCATGTAAAAAATTCAGATCAAAATCATAGAAACGGATTCATCTTATCAAATCTTATAAAAATCATACAAGAATCTTACGAAATCTGATGAACGCTTACTATAAGATCTTACATCAAGAATCAGTTTCTATGTTTCTTGCAGAATCTTACAAATTCTTATACGAATCTTACGAAAACTCAAAATTTATCATCGTGTAAGTCCTGTTTCTCTTTTTTATACTATTCATTGTCCTCGCTACTCATCTTTACCTCTTCATCATTCCATCTTCTTTTGATGGTTATTCTCCGCAAACGATGCATTCTTCTTTTTTTTATTCAACTATTGCTGACTGGAGTAATCTCCCAAAGTTAGTTATTTGTCTTTCTTCTTTAACGTCTTTCAAAACAGCTTTATATCAGTATCTCTTCCAGCGAAACATTTGTCAGCTAAGAATTTAAGAATTTATATTTGTTGTTTTTTTGCTACTTCTGGTTCTAACTTTAGTTGTCTTATTTATTTTGTCCTTTTTTATTACTCTTTTTGTGTTTTTTGGCTTGAGTCATTTATTACAGGTCAGTGACCCTTGATGACTTTCACTTTCGTGAATAAAACAGTCTTAGTCTTAGACGAAATCAGACGGAATCGTACAAGAATCTTACAGCAAGATTTGTTGACCTGGGTTGTCATATAACAGTCACTGTTTTTTCCGAAAACACTGCTATATTTAATATACATGTACACATGCTCAATTCGTTATATTCATCATGTCGAAAAATAACGTTTAACTTCAAGCAACACTAGCACATAAGACAAAAAACGTTGTGTATCACATGAGCAAAAAATATGACTTTCTTGAGCACAAAGTCATGTGCTTGAGAAAAAAGTCCACTACCCACTGAAAAAAATAATCAAAATTTATGCAGGATCCTGCAGGTTATCGGTATTAAGATAACTGGCCATGTTTCTTACCTTTACGCAGGCTTTTTATACTTTCAGCCCTGACAAAATCCTGCACAGTTTATGTAGGGTCAGCATGGAAAAAAATCCTGCGTAAAGGTAAGAAACATCGCAAGACTTTTTAACTTATTCAATCCACAAGTTTTTTCCTATGAGATCTGGCAGAATTTTGTTGATTGAAAGAAAAACGATATTGTTCTCCATGTCTATCCTGCGGTGGTATCCAGCAATCTTTTCTCACCAATGTCTGTCAGGCTGACTGTGGAGAAACTTGTTTGGATGTTTTGTTTTTGGAAAGTAAGGAATTTTTTTTGTTATAAAGTTATAAGAAATTTTCTCGTGTTCAATAAACTTCTAGAAAACGTATACCTTAATATTTTGACTTTAACACGCATTTTCATATGTACAAAACCAAACTATTAATAGACAGCTGAAAAGATCTTTTTTATGTCAGGAATATTCTATTTTTTTCCATCAATAAGAAATTAAAGTCATTAGAATGATCCCGCTATTGTGAAAAAAAGATGTATAGCAAAGGAGAGATATCAGACTATTTTAAATTTCTTCAGTTTTGAATGGCGAAAAAGTAGAATTTCGAAGATAATCATTGAATAGAAGCCCTAACAACAATATTCCGGTCAAGTGTGACAGAATAGGCTTGAGCACAAACGATAAATGTGAATTTAGTGCCAAATCGTTGTAATGAACTCTCGTTTGGTTGTGATGCATTGTTTTATTCCTATAACTTTCTTTTGAGAGCGTCGTATGAAAGATGGTTTTTCGTTGATTTTTTACCTTAGGGTTTCCTCTGCCATACTTAGCCTGTTTTTCTTCGTAGTTGAGAACGTACACGAGTTCTGTATCCTTTTTGTAAAAAGCAAGTCGAGGTGTACTAAAACCTTCGTTTTTCGAAGCTACGGACACCTTTTGGGTTTTCCGGATGTTTCGACCGGTAAAATCTTTTTCAAAAAATCGGATCACTTATATTCGTGATCAGCGCCAAATTCTCTATCGAATAGTGTCTGAAAAAGTCAACAATAAATCTCACTCTAAGTTTGACTTGCACGAGTGAAAAAAATTCTCGGCGGAGTTGCTTATCTGAGAAAAAAATTTCTTTAAAACGAATTTTAGTTGCTCTTGGTGTCTGTCAAAAAACCTTCTATAAGAAGAAGTTTTTGAACGCAAAGGAAAACATTTTGCTTTTGTGATAATGACAAT